CCCAAGGTTGGTGTTCAAATTCCCCGGAACGGTCGTGTAAGTGTGATTCCAATATGTCGTCCATGCATTCGCCACGCTGTCGTACAACGCTTTCCGTAGCTCGAAGCCATTCCCCGCGTGAGGGCCGTGCGCTGCCATGTATGTATGTATATATATATATATGTACAAGACTGCATTGGCGCTTCGCGCCATGCGCCTTGTTCCGCAAAGCAATAAATCATCGCTTTCGTCAGCAGGGAGGACCTCGAGGCCTGGACGGGCGACCCGCCCATTTTTCCGATATCGCGGGTGCCTGCTGACACCGCTTTCGGACGATGCGCTGGCACGCTCGTGCGCAGGAGTGGGGAAATCCTGCTGATTTTTTCGCGCACGAAGGTCCTTGAGGAAGTAAGGGGCGTTCCCATGACGCGCCGAAGAAGTCGCAGTAGCTCCGAACACATCGATTGTTGATCGCTTCCCGAATGCCTGGAGGGCTCCAGGCACTCAGGAAATCTTCGATCGTCGAATTTCGAATCTAGATCCATTGCCTGTCTGTTTCGATCGGGTAGCTACTGAAAGCTCGAGCCTCAAACGTGGAACCAGGATCGTCGGGTCAGGTTGATGTATTTCGTAGGAAAACGCCGTCTGGTCGTTTTTGGTGTTCTTTTGTGCCGTCCTGGGGCACTCTTGGGTCGTCCTGGGGGCTTCTTGGGCCGCCTTGGGGAGCTGAGGCCCTCCAGAGGTCTTCTGAAGCCATCTAGGGCCCTCTTGCGGGCCTCCAGTGGCGTTCTTGGAGGTATCCCATGGCTTTCGTGGGTCTCTCTTGGGAGCCTTTGGGGGCATCTTGGGTTTCTTGTGGGCCGTCTCGGGGCTCTCTGGGGCAGTCTTGGGGCCCCCTTGGGCCGCCTTCAACCCCTCTAGGGGGCCTCCCGGGCCGTCTTGGGGCGAGATTGGGGGCCCATTGGGCCGTCTTCGACGCTGCGAAGACCCAAAAAGCGGATATGCACAACAAATGTATTTCCTGAGGGAATGTGACGATTTTGGCTTTTCGGGGCTCTCTTAACGGCCTCTTGGGGTGTCTTGGGGGCCTCTTGGGCCGTCTTCAGAACATCGAGGTTCCTCTTGGAGCGCTCTTGCGCTGTCTTGGGTCTCTCTTGCGCCTCTCCGACGACCCCTCTAATCGCCTTCGGTCGGCTCGCAAAGGCCCAGCGAGGCGCCCTGGGAGGCCCGGAAGGGCCACCGAACCTTTTCCAAGGGCGTCCAGGGGGCCGCCGAAACGTCCGAAAGGGCGTCCGGAGCGTCCCTGGGGGAAGGATCCAGTTTAGGGTGGGGGGTCTGGGGGGTGGGTGGGTGGGGGTGTTCCGGGTAATAAACATATAAGAATAGGAATACACATTTTTTTTTTTTTTTTTTTTTTTTTTTTTTTTTTTTTTTTTTTTTTCCTCTCTCTCTCTATATATATATATACACAATCCGTGCGGAACGCGAAAAGGCCCCCCCCCAAAACCGGACTCCCGGGATCTGGGGCTTTGGGACCCTCTGGACGGGCCTCGAAGCGGCTCCCCAGGCCTCGCAGGGCGTTTTGCCAAGCCTTCCCAGCGCACCTAAGGCGGTCAGGGGGGTCATCGGAGACGTCCCAGAGACCCCCAAGACAGCACAAGAGCGCTCCAAGAGTGACCGACGTGACCTCTAGATGGCCCGAGAGGCCTCCAGGACAGTCCCAAAGAGGGCTCCGAGAGCACTCCCAAGAAGGCCCCAAGAGGCACAAATCATTTTTTTTTTTTTTTTGTTTTTTTTTTCTTTTTTTGAATTTGGGGGTTCTCTTCTTTTCGGCTTCCCGACGCTCCAAGACGGCGGTCTTCTGGGCGTCCGAAGCCGCCTGGGAGGCTGCAAAATCGCCCCACAACCATCCGAAAGGGCTTCCGGGCAGTCCAAGAGAGCCCCAAAACGGCACAACACGGGTCCAAGATGGCCCTCAGAGAGCCCCATGGCGGCCCAAGATGGCCCCAAAACACCCTCCGAAGCATTCCAGATCGTGACCCGGTCGTTCAGGGAGACCGCAGTTGGAGGCAGGGTGGCCCGAGGAAGCCCCCAGAGGCCCCCAGAATACGCCCAGGAGGCCTCCAGAAGGCCTTAAGAAAGCCCGAAACAACTTTTGCGAGGACCCCAGAGGTTCTCCAAGGAGGAACCTCCGCAAAAAAGAGCTGCGGAGGATGGGGAGAGTGCTCAGGGTATGGCGAAAATTAAGAAAAAAAGCATGGAGGAAGGATAACGAATAACATTATTATAGCGGCGATGCCAGAAAAGGCAACAAGGAGGTATCGCTAAATTGTCGGCTTTACCTTCTTGCAATTCCGCCTGCACACCAAACTTCAAAGACCAAGGTGCATGGCGCGAAGCGCCAATGCAATATTGTGTGTGTATGTATGTATATATATATATCCCTCCTGTAGTTTTGACCCTGAAGGTCGTAAGCCAGTCTCCGAGCAGCTTGAAACTTATCACCGAATCTGCTGCGCTTGGGGTGATCATGACGCCCGCGCCCGAGTGGAGATACCCTGGATATGACTCAGTCGTCCAGACAGGATCACCAAACAGCCATCTCGGAGGAAATTTTGCGCTTTTGCTACGTGTGTCTCCTGCGTACCTGAAATCGGCAGCCCTTGCTAGTTCATGTGGTGTTGGACCTCTGTCAGTTTTTGATGGTCTTCTCCTAGCCCTTGTACGTTCCAAGTGCCAATGCATCGGCCGCCAAATAGTCTGCAATGCCGGCGGCCGCATCCACATTTTCCATCGTGCGACTCCTGCCAACGGTGTGCACAAATATCAGTTTTATGGTATCTGTCGTGGTCAGAAAATCTTGATCGAGCACGTGATGATGAGGGAACCGAGTAGGTAGCTTTGCCCTGGCCCGGGGAAGGAGTTGCCGAGTTAACGCTAGAGTCGGCCCCGAGGCAATGTGCATCTCCATAGCTTGGTCCGCGGGTGCGGCCAGAGGGCGAAAGATCAGGTGGTAGAGCAGGTGGTAGTTGAACAGGCTCCCGAATAAGAAGGCGTAGTCAAAATTTCCGCTGCTGGGCGTGCAAGGGAAGCTTTGCCCGGTCTCGTGCACGCCGCGGCGCTGGAGAGCTGAGGTGTGCTCTGGCCAGCTCCGGCATCTGGCCGTACTTCCTGCTTGGAGCTCTTTTGCTGCCTTTGCATCGCCCCTCGACCGCCCGCCTCATGCTGGCAGAGGGTCGGTCCAAGAGGGCGCTGTTTTTGTCGATCAAATTCATCGTTTTTTGTATGTGTTTTTTTTGTTTTGGTTTTTTTTGTAGCTCGTCCCAGTTTGTCCAGTTGTCCAACCTTTCAGCTCCAGATGGTTATCGACCACTGTCGCCTCCACGGCAATCGCTCCGCCCACGTCTACGTACAATGGTAAAGCATCAGTCGAAACATTCATGATGCATTCGCTCTTCATGTCGTCCTTCAACGTATACTTTAGTCCGAAGCGAAAGTTCCGTGTCGCACGCAACGTAGGTGGCCGATCTTGAGTAGCCCAGATCTTCGATCCAGCGTGCGCAGCATCAGAATTGCGTAACATCCCGACAGCTCGGTCGCGGTCGTTCTCGTCAGTGAACTTCACAAAGAGAAGATCACGGAAGTCCCCTTTGGAGTAGATCTCTCATGCGACAGGGGCGTGCTGTTCATGCGTTGTTTCATATATATATATAAACAAGACTGCATTGGCGCTTCGCGCCATGCGCCTTGTTCCGGACGTTTTCCTGGCAAAGCAATACATCATCGCTTTCTTCAGCAGGGAGGACCTCGAGGCCTGGACGGGCGACTCGCCCATTTTTCCGATATCCCGGGTGCTTGCTGACATTGCTTTCGGACGATGCGCTGGCACGCTTGTGCGCAGGAGTGGGGAAATCATACTGATTTTTTCGCGCGCGAAGGTCCTTGAGGAAGTAAGGGGCGTTCCCATGACACGCCGAAGAAGTCACAGTAGCTCCGAAAACATCGATTTTTGATCGCTTCCCGAATGCCTGGAGGGCTCCAGGCACTCAGGAAATCTTCGATCGTCGGATTTCGAATCTAGATCCATTGCCTGTCTTTCTCGATCGGGTAGCTACTGAAACCTCGAGCCTCACATGTGGAACCAAGATCGTCGGGTCAGCTTGATGTATTTCGTAGGAAAACGCCGTCTGGTCGTTTTTGGTGCTCTTTTGTGCCGTCCTGGGGCACTCTTGGGCCGTCCTGGGGGCTTCTTGGGCCGCCTTGGGGAGCTGGGGCCCTCCAGAGGTCATCTGAAGCCATCTGGGGCCCTCTTGCGGGCCTCCAGTGGCGTTCTTGGAGGTATCCCATGGCTTTCGTGGGTCTCTCTTGGGAGCCTTCTGGGGGCATCTTGGGCTTCTTGTGGGCAGTCTCGGGGCTCTCTGGGGCAGTCTTGGGGCCCCCTTGGGCCGCCTTCAACCCCTCTAGGGGGCCTCCCGGGCCGTCTTGGGGCGAGATTGGGGGCCCATTGGGCCGTCTTCGACGCTGCGAAGACCCAAAAAGCGGATATGCACAACAAATGTATTTCCTGAGGGAATGTGACGATTTTGGCTTTTCGGGGCTCTCTTAACGGCCTCTTGGGGTGTCTTGGGGGCCTCTTGGGCCGTCTTCAGAACATCGAGGTTCCTCTTGGAGCGCTCTTGCGCTGTCTTGGGTCTCTCTTGCGCCTCTCCGACGACCCCTCTAATCGCCTTCAGTCGGCTCGCAAGGCCCAGCGAGGCGCCCAGGGAGGCCCGGAAGGGCCACCGAACCTTTTCCAAGGGCGTCCAGGGGGCCGCCGAAACGCCCGAAAGGGCGTCCGGAGCGTCCCTGGGGGAAGGATCCGGTTGGGGGTGGGGGTCCGGTGTGTGTGTGTGGGGGGGTTCCGGGTAGTAAAAATATAAGAATAGGAATGAACACACACACACATATATATATATATATATCTATATATATAAATATATTTATACAAATAGAAAAATTATATATAAAGTTTTCAAAACAAGAATACCTTGATTATTACTAGTATTTTAAACGGTATATTCTATATATCATGTTGCGGCCGCGGTGGAGGAAGAAAAACCACATCAACTGCTGACCACTGCTGTGATAGACCGCTTGTCATTGCCATCCACTGGTGTCGAGTCGATGCAGGCGCGCGTACTCCGAATGGTCGAACCTGAAGTTCAAGATCCCGAACTTTGGCTTCCAGCCACGACGTCGTCGAAGTGTGGGAGGCTGACCTGGCCGACTGCGTCTGTGAGTGGTAATCAGATTCCAGTGCGTCCAGTCTTGTCTTGAACTCATCGATTGTGCTCTGTACTGGTTCCACTGCGGTGCGGAGATCAGTCTGAGACACGCCACGTGCCATGGTCGCCGCGATGTCTTGTTGTATCGAACGCAGCTCGTCTTTGATCAATGTGCCAATGGCGTCGAGCGTTGGCGGACCTCCAGCTAGCGGGGCGCCTGGCAGAGGACGAGGCTTGGGCCAATGCAGTTGGCCAGAGGGCCCTGCTCCTGACGATACGCTTGTATTCAAGCCGTTGCCGTCCGTTCCATCCATTTCGTGTAATGAACTGTGGATCCCGTGCTGCTTGGCTAGCAGTTCCTTGATTGGGGTACCTGTTATGCGCTTGTCACGACGGTCGCCCGAAGAAATCATCCCTATGGTGTCGAAAGAAAAAGTACACAGGAAAGGGGTGTGTGGTACGAGGAAATTGCCGTGGTCCTGTACATGCCAGGAAAAACTGGTCTCAAGTAACAATTGTTTTGGCTTGAGCCAGCGCAGCCACGCGGGACCCCAACGCAGCCCTGCAGGACACCGTGATAACCGCAAGAGGCCCACGGAGGTGGAGGAGGACGAGGATGAGGAGTTGGAGGATGAGGATGAAAAGGAGGAGGAGGAGGCGGAGGATCAGAGTAAGCGCTGCCATCTCACGTGCCGCCCTTCCAGGTCCCCGTAAGCGTTCCTGTTCACTACGGGAACCGCGCTGTTGCACGGCCAGCGCCCTACGGGCTTGCCGTTCGGGCGCGAGTCTCGCTCTGAACACGAACTGCTCCTCCTCCTCCTCCTCCTCCTCCTCCCACCCCTCCCCTCCTCCTCCTCCTTCTCCTCCTCCTCCTCCTCCTCCTCCTCCTCCTCCTCCTCCTCCTCCTCCTCCCACCCGTCCTCCTCCGAGTGGCGTGCGTTGGTATGGGAGCGCGCGGGAAGGGCGCGGCGGACCGAACGACCCAGGAGGAGATGGGCTGACATGGCGCCCGCCTTCACAGTGCAGCCACGAGCTGCGAGAAGACGCCTGGAGCCGAGCGCCTCCGCCGCGCGCCCCGCTCCGGGGCGGCCTCCGGGCCGGCAGGGCGCGAGAGCGAGCGCGTGAGTGCGCGAGCTTAACGTTGCCAGGAGGTGGGACCATGAAGCTCCAGAAATCGGCATCACCCCAACATACGTACAGCAGGGCTGGACCTGAACGGTGTTTTTGGTGATTTTGTGGGCCGTTATCGTTTTGACTTCGTTTTGCGGTAAAGGTGGATTCGAGACAAAAACGCTGGGAAACGAAAGCAGAACGAAAACGAAAAACACCGTTCAAGTTCAGCCCTGACTTATACTATGTGTGCGTCGCCCCCCTATGGGGCGACGCGCGCGCCAAGAAATCTTACAGTATATGCGTCGTGGCGGGCGCTTTCTGGCCACACCGCTCGGGAAACAATATACCACGAAACGGTATACTACATGTTCGGGTCGGACGCGCGCCTCCAAGGAGGACCTGTATTATTAGCAGGTCTCTGTGCGTCCCAAGGAACGTGTCCAGCGATAGTGCCGTTAGAAACATAACCTCCCTCCGCCCGTGTCGCCTTTTCCAGGGCATCGGGGCTGCGCAGAGCATGCTGCCGCTGGAAAAAGTCAGGTGACGAGCATCGCGCCTGTACGTCCCATGGTTTCTTGACGTCTTTTAAGTGCTCTACATCCCTCCACTTCTTCCTTATGGATGATCTTGACCGTGCGAGGCGCGAAGTCGGTGACGGCGGCAGCGGCGGCGATGGTGATCTCAGGCTTTCCCGGGCTCTTGCCGGGGCGGCCATGCGCAGGGTGGCAGCGGCGCTCCGCGGCGCTGAGGAGGGATCGCCAGCAGGAACGCCAGCAGGTGCCGCGGGGACATGGTTCCCACCGCCACAACATATCCATATCCACCGCCTCGGAGCCGCGCCACGGGATCTCGACGACTTCTGGCGGAGTGGTGGAGAGGGACGTCTGCCCGCCCCTCGAGGGCGGGAGGGCATCCATGCTCACCGCTGCCCTAGGGATCTGGGGGTGGCGCTCCAGCAGCTGTGGGTGTCGCTGTTTCGTGGCGGGGCAGGGCGGGGAGGTGAAGGGGGAGTACGTTTGGACCCATTGTGCAGGAGGAGGAGGAGGAGGAGGAGGAGGAGGAGGAGGAGGAGGAGGAGGTGGAGGAGGAGGAGGTGGAGGAGAGGAGCGTCGAGGGATCGAGCATGCAAGTACCAGGTTCAGGAGGGCCCTGCGGGAGCATCGCGCCTCTGAGGAGTCGGTGCCTTCTGAGCTGGCACAGCCTGGTCGGGACCCTTCTTGCTGTCCCGCGGTGTGGGCCTGCCAGAATCCTGGAACGTTTCATCTGGTGCAGGTAGCGTTGGAGCCTTGTCTGGGCACCATATCATCAGGCAACAGCCAATCAGAGTCAAATGAGAGTCTGCGAGCGCACGCCGCCCAGTGCGGCAGTGCTGCCGGAGGGACCCCGACTGCTTTGTCCCAGGTCGGTGCAGAAAGCCGCCCACGACCCCGACTGTAAACCAGCTCACATCAGTGGTGTTGCCAATGCCACAGTGGTGTTGTGAGAATGCGACGTGCGTGTAGTTGCGAGAATGCAACGTTCGAGCCCAGCGCAACTTACATCTGGCAGGGACACAACTGGCGGAGCAACTTTGTTTTTGTTTCTTTGTCTTGGACATGCGGGAATCACACATAGCCCATGATAATAATGGGTTATGGGTATGGTCAGAGTGAGGGGGCCGAACGGTCATTCATTGTCCCTGGGTGCGTGGCTGAAGTGAGAAATCGTGGTGAGGATTCTGCTTGTTGCGTTGTTGTTGTTGTTGTTGTTGTTGTTGTTGTTGTTGTTGTTGTTGTTGTTGTTGTTGAATTCTCATTTGTGAAGAATAATTATTGTTGATCCCCACACCAGTGCAGACTGTTTTTTCTCAATCAAAGTGTGTCCCTCGACGCTCGCATCCGGTTTTTTTGACAGGGAAAGTCTTCCTGCTCAAACTGGGCCCCTGGCCCCCGGGTTACAACAACAACGGCTCCCACCTGAGACTTCCTTGCAATTTAGGCAGCACCCCCGCTCCCGCCCGAGACTTCCTCAGGCATCGCGCTCTCGCTTGGGACTTCCTTACAATTTATTCAGGAATCGCTCTCCTGGGCTCTGGAGTCGCGCTCTCGCTGGAGACTTGCTTGCAACTTACTGAAGAATAGCCTTGCGTTGGAATTTCCTGCAATTTGCCCAAGCGCCGCGCTCCCGACACCCAGGCACCCAGGAGTCGCGCCCGTTGTGGCCCCATGTGCATGCCCTTCGTGGCCCCGCTGTCGCCATTAGTGTCCCCCTCATTGTCCTACGTGGCCCAGTTGCTACCCTCAGTGGCCCTATAGTTGCCTTCTGTGGCCCGCATTATATGCACTTCGTGGCCCCCGCTCGTTCGAATTCTTCGTGGCCCCATACGCATTCCCTTCGTGTCCCCGGTGCCGCCCTTCGTGGCCTACTTCGTGCCCGTTCGGGGCCCCGCTGTCGTTCTCTCTCGCTCTCCTTTTCGCTCGTGGTCGCCGTCGTCGCCGTTGCCGTCGTCGTCGTCGTCGTCGTCGTCGTCGTCGTCGTCGTCGTGATCGGTCCCCTGTCCGTCCCTCTTGGGGTCGTATCGACGGTCCGCGGCCGCCCCGCCGATTAGCGCTGCCGCTGGCCAGGCCGACGGTCCGCGGCCGCCCCGCCGCTTGCCGGGGCCCGGCCTGCAGGGAAGAAAGGTATCCCTCCAAAAGGGTTTCGATCGAAGACGAAGAGGGCGGGTATCGAGGGTTTGGGAAATACGCGTTGTTGGACACTCGAGCATATAAGAGCGAACAGTCTTAAACTGATTGTTGTTGTTGTTGTTGTTGGTGGTGGTGGTGTTGTTTGTTGTTTGTTGTTTGTTGTTTGTTGTTGTTGTTGTTGTTGTTGTTGTTGTTGTTGTTCTTGTTCTTGTTGTTGTTGTTGCTGCTGCTGTTGTTAATGTTGTTGTTGTTGTTGTTGTTGTTGTTGTTGTTGTTGTTGTTGTTGTTGTTCTTGTCGTCGTCGTCGTCGTCGTCGTCGTCGTCGTCGTCGTTGTTGTTGTTGTTGTTGTTGTTGTTGTTGTTGTTGTTGTTGTTGTTGTTGTTGTTTTCTTGTTGTTCTTGTTGTTGTTGTTGTTGTTGTTGTTGTTGTTGTTGTTGTTGTTGTTGTTGTTGTTGTTGTTGTTGTTGTTGTTGTTGTTGTTGTTGTTGTTGTTGTTGTTGTTGTTGTTGTTCCCCCGCGACCCACCCCGAACCCCGCGACCCACCCCGCGACCCACTCCGCGACCCACCCCGCGACTCCACGACCCACCCCAACCCGCGACCCCCCCGCGACCCACCCCGCGACCAACTCGCGACCCACCCGCGACCCACCCCGCGACCCACTCCGCGACCCACCCGCGACCCACCCGCGACCTATCTGCGACCCACCCCGCGACCCATCCGCGACCCACCCACCACCCACCCGCGACCCACTTGCGACCCACCCGCCACCCACCCGCGACCCACCCGCGACCCACCCGCGACCGATCTACATTGGTTTGAAGAAATAGTTGGCGCCTGCGGCCAGCTCGTTGTATAATTTATGAAGCTTTGGCGCCTGCGGCGGGCTTCTCCAGAGTCTCAGCCGACGTCCCCACCGCCCCCTCACTCTTATCCGCATTTGCGGGGTGCTACGTATTTTCGCTTGCACATGAACCGCCAGCCACAATTCATAACACATCGATGAACGCCTGTGTGAATACGTGGTGCAACACAAGCCTGACTCACCATTGCACTGCACCAGAGGGGTCGCCAGCGTGCACCGTGAGATAACGAATGATCGACAGACAGTGTCATTGTGTGAAGGATGTTATGTTGTACTGCCCCTGGCGTTGATGATACAACTTTTCCCTTAGTTTTGAAAGCGGTCAGTATTTATACTCTTTGTTGCACAGGGTATCGCGAGCCCCCTCACCGCATTTGATTAAGGGGCGTGAAGGTTTCAGACGGTGTGACGAACCTTGGCTCCCCTTCCAAAGCGAGCGCGGTTCTCCCCTGTTCGCCTCACCGCCGCCAGCGCTCCTTGTGCCGCTTCACTACCGCCTATATGTCCGCCCCATTCTCATGTGCTGGAGTTCACTTCTGATCGGTCGGACTCAGTTGACGGTCTGTCTGTTACTATAGGGAACGCTCGTTATGATCACGACGCCGAGCTTTTTCATCTTTCTCATCTTTCATCTCTCGTGAGGAGCGTGGAAGAGGAGGAATGTAGGGTGACTCGGCTGCTGGGTTGACGAGTGTCTCCTGCTGACCTGCCGGGATGTCTTCTGCTTCCCGAGTGTTGGTGGGCGTCCAGGCACAAGCCAGTCTGGGCAGATGGATACGCTTGCGG